GGCATTATACAGAGACCGATATATAACGCTATAACCCCTCCCCTCCCTGTCAGCCACATTATACAGAGACCGATATATAACGCTATAACCCCTCCCCCCTCCCTGTCAGTCATTATACAGAGACTGATATATAACACTAACCCCATGAGGACCTCCAGCGTCGCCAGAATCTCCATAGGAAAGCATTGAATAGTGTTTTCCTATGGTGAGATCTAGTGCGCTCACGTGGCCATTTCCACGAATGCGCATTATTTCTCTCCTGCAGGCTAACGGCAGGGGAGAAGCCTGATCCAGCACTGAGGGACATGGGCACTGGATTCAGGTAAGTCACTGCAGGAGTTTTAACCCCTTCAGCAACATGTAATTGGGGGGGCACGGAAGGATTCTGCAGTGTCAGGTAAACTGGTTTGTCTTCCTGGCACTGGAAAGTCCCTTTAATACCTCTATTAACATGAAATACTGCCTACCTTTTGTGTCACTATACCCCACTTCCTCTAGAATGTTAAAAAAATAAAAATAAAAAAAATTAAGCAGGCCCCTCAGTTGCTGTGCATCCAACTCATCTGGTTACAAGTACATGCCTGTTAGTCTCCGCAACGCTGTATCAGTAATTTGTTGGCGCTTTATAAAAGACTATCCGGCAGGTTACCAAGGTCTCAAAACCAACCATTGAATAACTGATATATCCTGACTGTAGCTGATATGTTATAGGAGTGAGAACATTTTTGTCCTAATTTTACTTTTCAATGTTATGCACCCAGATAATTTCAGCTCATTAAAGCTGGCTGGGTGCAGTGTCCCTCTTGCACTTAGTGCTGCAATATAAAACCGAGAATTGTAAGGTTTACATTGAGCACTAAGTCTGCCTATAGGCAGTTAACAGACGCTGGATGTGCTCACACTCTGCATGAGGACATCCAACATCAATCATTTCCTCATTGGAAAGCATGGATTCAATTCTTTCCTATGGGGAGGGCATAAAGCACACGAGCCAGTTGCTGCGCAAGCACATTCACCACCGCTTGCAACCAAGCGACACTGGGGTCTGTTAAGTAAAGCGTTTTTAACCCTTTATGTACCACTAGGGACAAGCAAGGGAGGGGGTTGGGAGAAGGAGCTATAGTGCCAAGAATACAGCTTTGTACTCCTGGCACTACAGGATCCCTTTAACTTGTAAATTAGTACATAAACCAGCATGTAGCAGATTCCTTTCTACCATCCCCTTTGGAGAGGTGTGACAGCAATTCCCCAAATAACCAAGTCCCACAATCTAGCATGGACGGATCGGACCCTGGCCACTTTAGCAACAAGCAGGGGTCCTAAGATTGTCCATTTCAGGCAATATACCAGCTCTAGTACACAGAAGACATTTCACTTTGTGACAAGTTTACAGAGACCATGATACAATTTTTTTTATTTTTTTTATTTTAAAGACTGCAGTGCATTTGGGTCCATGAAACAGACAATAGAAGATTAAAGGGATTTTTGTTTATACAAAATGGCATCGCAGGCTCCAATGAGATAAGTTCATGCAAACGGAGCTTTTTATAGTTAAACAAAAATAAATAAAAATCAAAATGACTTTAACGTCAGCAAACGTGTCAACCAGAACATGCATCTATAAATAAAGTGATCGATTATATGCTCCCTCTGGGAAAGAGAAAAAAAAAACTCAATGTTTTATTTACAGCTTAGTCACATTTATACAAATTATAGTACAAAATCTACATATTTATCCAGTATATAAGCCATTATTAAAGCTTATTTCGAAGAAATAAATATCTGAATATTTAGATGGTTGGCTGGTGCCTCAGACGATGTATTTAAAGCTGTACGTCTTATCACAGGACAGTCTCTGCCCCTTACACCGGCCACATAGCTCTTGGCAGTGGGGTCTCTTCAGGTCGATGGCCTTCCTGTCTGGGCATGTGCACCATGTCTTCATACAGATCTAAACAAGACCAAGATAACAGTGAGCAAACTGCATGGGGAGCTCCTTGCTTTTATACACATAGAGGTCCAATGGCAGCACGAGGTCTGGCTCATGTCTATGTACGAGGAGGGGGGGGGCCAATTAAAGTGTTGCTGCGCTTTGTTATTTACTGGTCTGATGAAGGCATTGTATGGAAACAGGACAAAAAGGGAAACAGTTTACCTTAATACATACAGGAGATAGAGGGTTGTCAGGAGGTGGGCAACCGTCAGACAAAAGTCGCCAAAGGAACAGATCTACACAGAAAACGTCAGTCACTGGTCTGATCATTCGTTCGTGGTTACCATCAGACCACCATTGCTACATAGGGAGATCATACAAATCCCCACCTAGGATGTTTTACATGTATTTCCTGACCAGAAATACCATCAGGAAGCAACTGGAGGCCATCACCCATTTCTGCTAATCTGGGTTTGCTCAATGCCCAAGGTTTTAATTTCCAGCTGTATTTTAAATGGTTCCAAGTACTAGTTATGCAATCGGTATTACAGTTCTCTTGGACAGGACCAACATACTGATCCATTATTAGAGTTACGTTTAGCCTCTCACCCAATAAGCATTGACCTGGCTTCATTGTAACAATCAATGTAATATTAAACCTGCAGGCCTACAGTCTATGGAACATTGAGCCTCTGAGACGTATTGAGTTTGGCCTTATTTGGATTCATTGTTAATGGCTGGAAGGAGCCTGGCACCAACCAAAGTCACCGCCATAGAATGGAGTTTGTACCCGAGCCAGCCGCACAGCCTTACCTTGCATTCAATAGACTCCACGTAGTACGGATTGTAACCTTTCAGGCATTTGTGGCAGTACTGTTTGAAATACACCTGGATGATGATGATAAATACAGCAAGTTATTATGGGGAGGAAAGTTAGTTACCTACAACATGCAGCTATGGCCAAAATGCACACCCAGCATTACCAGTCAGAGCTAGATTGTGTAATAAAAGCATAGAATTCCATCTCTTTAAGTCACCATAAATGCAGAATGGACTTTACATTGCGGGTTATGTACATGTAGAATATTACACAATATTATTCCATATAGTGTGTTCAGACGTTGTCATGGTGTATCTGACTTGTGTCAATACGGTTTTGCTCTCAGTAGCTGTGGATTGTGAACGAACCAGTCAGGAGCACAACTATAGTGTCTGGCAGTAAGAATGAACATATGGCTACAATTTACAAGCTAGGGCCCATGGCACACGGACACCGTTCTATAACAAATGGCTTTCGAGAGAATTGCACTAGAGAAATTCTAATCTTTGAGACATAGAAAAGTTATGTTTTTATTAAATACCACACCAAGAAGTACACTCAACTTGTTCGTGTGCATTTTGTGATAGGTTAGATTTGCTGTATGTTATGGTCAGCTGTCTGAAGTGCTGTCCGGTTACTAACCAGTATAGATGGTGGTGACATTGACCGCCAGATGCCCCTGCGGCCCTTACCTTGTTTGTTCCAGAGACACACCACACGTAGGCACTTTCCCAGCGCACCTGGCACTCCTTACAGTGAAAGAAGCCGTATTTCTGCTCCAAGAACTGCAAGGAGACAAGAGCGAAAACCAAAATTATTAACCACAGGTTAAACTGGCCACAGCAGTCACAGCGCTGACCACACAGCATCATCCACCTGGACAGGACGTCTTGCTACAGTGATATTCCCACAATGCAGTGGTGGGCAGATGGACCACACCGCTTTGGGTGCATGCCTTCACCAATACGGTTAGAATGAGGAGTTGGATGAACACACATGGATTCCATATGCACCTGAATGGAAACATCTCATTTAAACTATTTCTTTAGATTTTAGCCAGTAAAAAAAAAAAAAAAAAAAAAGTGTTTAAGTGTAAGATATTACGTTTTAAGTTAAAGAACATTTTTGGTAGATAACTAGGGATGGTGAGGGGAGGCAAGTACCAGGAGCCTTGGCCAGTGTCCAATCAGTCTTAAAGGACCACTATAGGCACCCAGACCACTTCAGCTCAATGAAGTGGTCTGGGTGCCAGGTCCCCCTAGTTTTAACTACATAAAATTAGGTATAAAAAGCTACACGTACCAGGAGATCCCTAAACCAATAAAAGGTTAAGTCTAATATACAAATAAATAGCTATAAAAAGTGAAGAGCGAAGTAAAACCAATACAGATAGAGGAATTGGCAATCAGCCTCTGAGGAAGTGACTGAATCGTCACGAAACGCGTAAGGCATCCTGGCGTACTGACATCGTATACTGACATCGTATACTGACATCACTGCAGCTACCGAGTACCGTGGAATGCAGAGCGGACGCACTAACTGGAACACACACGAAGAGGGTTCCATCTCTCCTAGCTCAGCAAGATCACCTCACCGGCCGGGGACAGGATCTTCCACAGTATTTTTCCAACATTACCCGCTCTTGCAGACCCCCAGGACTTATTTGCTGCGTTATTACACTTCATGTTTGGGAGTGGATATACATACATGTAATGTTACCATGTACCTGCTATAGTGGTATGTGAGTAATATCTTTCATGCAACATTTTGATACATTTTACCATTATGGGTTATAGTATGTTTATAGTCTGACACATGAATGTAACTTTTTAATGGATAATTACAGAGTGTGTTGACTGTGACAGTAGGATTATTTCTTAGCAGGTCCAATCTCCACATCAAACAAACTTTGGTATCCAGAACATCAGCTACCAACGTTTATCGTTATCCCATCAATTTGGACTCCTCTTTCCAAGTATTGGACTACTGAGTGGTACATTACACAACAGATAAGACTGTATTGATTCTTTGGAGTCACAGAAAATTTTAGGTCACATTCTGGACTCTTATATTTGATTTTTATTTATTTTTTTTAATTTGATTTTATGTCTGCTGATTGATTGTTTAGTGAATATTCCCCTCCTATGTGAGATCACTCAGTACTTGGCTGCCATCTAGTGCTCGTTTTTTAGATTGCATCTTTTGCTATTGCCAATGCCTCTATCTGTATTGGTTTTACTTCGCTCTTCACTTTTTATAGCTATTTATTGGTTTAGGGATCACCTGGTACGTGTAGGTTTTTATACCTAATTTTATGTATTTACTTTCAAGAGCTTTTATGGGGGCTTACCTTTACTAGTAGAGACCCTTTACTTACCTATTCCTATCCCAATTCTTTCCATTTTCTCCACTCTCCAGGGCTAGATTATTCTACCCAATCCATCCCCCTAGTTTTAACTCTGCTGCTGAAAATGTAGCAGTTTCAGAGAAATTGCTCTGTTTACATTTTAAAGTTAAGCCAGCCTCTACTGGCTGTCAGTGAGGTCGCTTCTGAGATCGACATTGAGTAAATCACACTTATTTGACGCTGGACGTCCACACGGAGTCCAGAATCAAAAAAGATTCCCATAGGAAAGCATTGAGTAATTCTTTCCTATGGGCAGGTTTAAATGCATGCGCATGCTCATTCAAACCCGCTCAGACGCTGATGTCAAAGGAGGAAGAGGTCACCAGCGCCGAGTAAACCAGACGCTGGATTAAGGCAAGCAATTCAATTGTTAATTAACCGTTTATTCGGCAGGGTACGGGGTCCTAATCACCGTTTAGGTGACTAGGGCTCTATGGCATATTTGTATATCAGCATATATACACAGCACCGAGTGATACACGCCGTAGATCACAGGACAGCACCGAGTGATATATGCTGTATAGCAATTCCTGCATCTGTTATCAATCATAGGAGGCTGGCTGATGTATGAAAGACGAGGAGAGTACTTGATAACCCAACAGTGTCCATGGGCCCTGAACAGCCCTTTCCTTCAACCCGAAATTTAACTTTTTCCAAATCTTAAACGCTTACTTTATCCTTAATTTAAAAAAAACCACACTAAATTTAACCGCATTCTAACCCTAAACATACATTATCCCGCAAATATAGCCACATGCCATTTAATCCTCTTAATTAACATTCCATGCAATCTAAATTAAACTCAAAGTATCTGCTTTTTTTGGATGGGAAATAGGTGGCGCCTTCGAATTCTGTGTCTACAGGGACCCGGCATGTAAATCTGGCCCTGCGGCTAACGTTAGCCTATGCTTAAACTTCCTGTGGCTGCGAAGGGGTTAATACAATATCTCCCAGGTCACTGTTCTTTCCAATATGAGCAAGTGTTTCAGTCTCTCGACAGGCCATATAAAATCAGTGTAAACATCGGCAGTCACTGCATCCAATCGACACATCCATCTCAGAGTGTGATTTCTCCACTTGTTTGTATTCACAACACTGCGGGTCACCATTATATCTCCATCTAACCGTACCCCAGGAGTTAACTCTCCCAGCTTGAATCCCTCACATTCAGTCCTGCTCCAGACCAACAGTCACTTCTCTGGACCTATGTCACAGAATAAATTTATATTAAAAATTTAGCAAATGGCACAATCCAGTTTAGACTAGGCATCACCAAGGCACACAATGCAAATGGAAACATTGTGTCAAGGCTCCTCTCTGTAAGCGATCTATGCTGACTGCCAGGTGTAATGGGTGGAGCTTATAACAATGATTGAAAAGGAGCTAAGATGGAGGCACCCAGTTACAGGATGATGAAATATGGAAGAAATGGTGGATTCTACATTAAACAGATCTGTTAATCTTTAAGAACGGACCTTTTGTAAACACCATAACCACTAGAGCACATTCTACATACTCTCAGCCAAACAATGTACAAAGTTTGTATGCCAATACAGAAGTATGAACACCCATACACCATAACCATAGCTGCTGCAGTTATAATACACTGTGTGTGGGAGTCAGGGGACCTCCTTACACCATAACCTTATAGCTGCAGTTATAATACACTGTGTGCGGGGAGACAGGGGACCTCCTTACACCATAACCTTATAGCTGCAGTTATAATACACTGTGTGCCGGGAGACAGGGGACCTCCTTACACCATAACCTTATAGCTGCAGTTATAATACACTGTGTGCGGGGAGACAGGGGACCTCCTTACACCATAACCTTATAGCTGCAGTTATAATACACTGTGTGCGGGGAGACAGGGGACCTCCTTACACAATAACCTTATAGCTGCAGTTATAATACACTGTGTGCGAGGAGACAGGGGACCTCCTTACACCATAACCTTATAGCTGCAGTTATAATACACTGTGTGCGGGAGACAGGGGACCTCCTTACACCATAACCTTATAGCTGCAGTTATAATACACTGTGTGCGGGAGACAGGGGACCTCCTTACACCATAACCTTATAGCTGCAGTTATAATACATGGTGTGCGGGGAGACAGGGGACCTCCTTACACCATAACCTTATAGCTGCAGTTATAATACACTGTGTGCGGGTAGACAGGGGACCTCCTTACACCATAACCTTATAGCTGCAGTTATAATACACTGTGTGCTGGGAGACAGGGGACCTCCTTACACCATAACCTTATAGCTGCAGTTATAATACACTGTGTGCGGGGAGACAGGGGATCTCCTTACACCATAACCTTATAGCTGCAGTTATAATACACTGTGTGCAGGGAGACAGGGGACCTCCTTACACCATAACCTTACAGCTGCAGTTATAATCCACTCACAGCTCATATTAAACATGAACATGCAGTAAGTTATCCCAAATGGCATTGTAGCTGCTAAGTTATCCCAAATGGCATTGTAGCTGCTTTCCCAGAACTGCACGAGACTCCATGTCCATATAAAATCACCTGGAAGTTTGGCTTTTTCAGTCCGGTGTCTCTCAGGTCCTCTTCTTGGACATCCATGTTCTCCGCTTGAGTTCCAGCATCCCTCGCCCCTTCCCCAGAAGACAGAGGGGGAACAGTGAAGAGTCTCCGGTCTGAGAGCCTGGAATACACAGCTATGGTGCGAGGGAATCGAACGGGAGAGATAATGCCGAGACCCGCATGCTGCCCAGGAACAGCATGGCAAAGAAAAGGCATCCCCTTCCTGGTTTTAAGGGTACGGGGCCCCAGTGAGCATTGTATAGACACATCTACCCGGGGGTTGACTTGGACCCCCACCTCCCGGGTATAGTATCGGCTCAATCCCAGCTCTGGCCCAAGCTGGCACAGTAACGCCTTTAGCTGAGCCCACTTGTAACTGGCCAAAGCATCAAAGGGAAGAGGGGGCTTCATGTGGGCCTGCGAGCCTTTATACGGCGGCTTCCAATATTGCTGCTTGGGCCGGTAGTATGGAGCAGGCTGTCTATAGGGGGGTCCATAATGCTGGACACCATGGTACTGAGGGGGATACATCACACCTGCCATTCTTTCTGTCTTCCTCACAAACACACAGCCCAAGCTCCCTGCTGCAGGTTTTATCACCACCCACTGCTAATTATCTGCACCTAATTACAGATATTAACAGCTTAACCCTTTCACAGCGTGGAGTCACATGATCAATATCAGGGATAATCAATTTGATACGATTCTTTTTTCGTTTTCTGAATCTCCACTAACGGGTTCAGGGTTTAGTATGTATACAGTGCAGGCTTACTGACACGAGGGGACTACTATGATTTTCTGGCAAGTTATTACATTTAAAGAATTCTGGGAGTTGTAGTTGTAGGGTTCAATGAACAATCTATGAGAGCTGCATATGTACAGGTGGCCAGTCTGTGAAATAGGACAGGATTACATGGTCAGTCTGTGGAGATCAGCAGGGTTAAATAAACAGTTTATAGGGATCTGCAGGGTACTGGAATTAATCTGTGGAGAGCTGCAGAGTTCAGTCAATGAACAGTCTGTGGACAGCCACATGCTTCAATGATTAGTTCAATGTTATATCTGTGAAGAGCTGCTGTGTTCAATGTTATATAAGTGAATGGCTCCTGTGTTCAATGTTATATAAGTGAATGGCTGCTGAGTTCAATGATGTCGGTGAGGAGCTGCTGAGTTCAATGCTTTGTTTGTGAAGAGCTGCTGGGTTCAATGTTATATCTGTGAATGGCTGCTGTGTTTAACATTATATCTGCGAAGAGCTGTTGAGTTCCATGTTAAGTCAGTGAAGAGCTGCTGGGTTCAATGTTATGTTTGTGAAGAGCTGCTGAGTTCCATGTTATATCTGGGAATAGCTGCTGAGTTTAATGTTATGTCTGTGAAGAGCTGCTGAGTTCCATGTTATGTTTGTGAAGAGCTGCTGAGTTCTGTGTTATGTCTGTGAAGAGCTGCTGAGTTCTGTGTTATGTTTGTGAAGAGCTGCCGAGTTCCGTGTTATGTTTGTGAAGAGCTGCTGAGTTCCATGCTATGCTTGTGAAGAGCTGCTGAGTTCTGTGTTATGTTTGTGAAGAGCTGCTGAGTTCCGTGTTATGTTTGTGAAGAGCTGCTGAGTTCCGTGTTATGTTTGTAAAAAGCTGCCGAGTTCTGTGTTATGTCTGTGAAGAGCTGCTGAGTTCGGTGTTATGTCTGTGAAGAGCTGCTGAGTTCCATGCTATGTTTGTGAAGAGCTGCTGAGTTCTGTGCTATGTCTGTGAATAGCTGCTGAGTTCTGTGTTATCTTTGTGAAGAGCTGCTGAGTTCCATATTATGTCTGTGAAGAGCTGCTGAGTTCAATGTTATGTTTGTGAAGAGCTGCTGAGTTCCATGCTATGCTTGTGAAGAGCTGCTGAGTTCTGTGTTATGTTTGTGAAGAGCTGCTGAGTTCCATGTTATGTTTGTGAAGAGCTGCTGAGTTCCATGTTATGTTTGTAAAAAGCTGCCAAGTTCTGTGTTATGTCTGTGAAGAGCTGCTGAGTTCTGTGTTATGTTTGTGAAGAGCTGCTGAGTTCAATGTTATGTTTGTGAAGAGCTGCTGAGTTCCGTGCTATGTCTGTGAAGGGCTGCTGAATTCCATGTTATATCTGGGAATAGCTGCTGAGTTTAATGTTATGTCTGTGAAGAGCTATTGAGTTCCATGTTATATATGTGAAGAGCTGCTGAGTTCAATGTTATATCTGTGAAGAGCTGCTGAGTTTTATGTTATGTTTGTGAAGAGCTGCTGAGTTCCATGTTACGTCTGTGAAGAGCTGCTGAGTTCCATGTTATGTTTGTGAAGAGCTGCTGAGTTCTGTGTTATGTCTGTGAAGAGCTGCTGAGTTCTGTGTTATGTTTGTGAAGAGCTGCTGAGTTCCGTGTTATGTCTGTGAAGAGCTGCTGAGTTCAATGTTATGTTTGTGAAGAGCTGCTGAGTTCCGTGTTATGTTTGTGAAGAGCTGCTGAGTTCCATGCTATGCTTGTGAAGAGCTGCTGAGTTCTGTGTTATGTTTGTGAAGAGCTGCTGAGTTCCGTGTTATGTCTGTGAAGAGCTGCTGAGTTTAATGTTATATCTGTGAAGAGCTGCTGAGTTCCGTGTTATGTCTGTGAAGGGCTGCTGAATTCCATGTTATATCTGGGAATAGCTGCTAAGTTTAATGTTATGTCTGTGAAGAGCTATTGAGTTCCATGTTATATATGTGAAGAGCTGCTGAGTTACGTGTTATGTCTGTGAAGGGCTGCTGAGTTCAATGTTATATCTGTGAAGAGCTGCTGAGTTCAATGTTATATCTGTGAAGAGCTGCTGAGTTTCATGTTATGTTTGTGAAGAGCTGCTGAGTTCCATGTTACGTCTGTGAAGAGCTGCTGAGTTCCATGTTATGTTTGTGAAGAGCTGCTGAGTTCTGTGTTATGTCTGTGAAGAGCTGCTGAGTTCTGTGTTATGTTTGTGAAGAGCTGCTGAGTTCAATGTTATGTTTGTGAAGAGCTGCTGAGTCCGTGTTATGTTTGTAAAAAGCTGCCGAGTTCTGTGTTATGTCTGTGAAGAGCTGCTGAGTTCGGTGTTATGTCTGTGAAGAGCTGCTGAGTTCCATGCTATGTTTGTGAAGAGCTGCTGAGTTCTGTGCTATGTCTGTGAATAGCTGCTGAGTTCTGTGTTATCTTTGTGAAGAGCTGCTGAGTTCCATGTTATGTCTGTGAAGAGCTGCTGAGTTCAATGTTATGTTTGTGAAGAGCTGCTGAGTTCCATGCTATGCTTGTGAAGAGCTGCTGAGTTCTGTGTTATGTTTGTGAAGAGCTGCTGAGTTCCATGTTATGTTTGTGAAGAGCTGCTGAGTTCCATGTTATGTTTGTAAAAAGCTGCCAAGTTCTGTGTTATGTCTGTGAAGAGCTGCTGAGTTCTGTGTTATGTTTGTGAAGAGCTGCTGAGTTCAATGTTATGTTTGTGAAGAGCTGCTGAGTTCCGTGCTATGTCTGTGAAGGGCTGCTGAATTCCATGTTATATCTGGGAATAGCTGCTGAGTTTAATGTTATGTCTGTGAAGAGCTATTGAGTTCCATGTTATATATGTGAAGAGCTGCTGAGTTCAATGTTATATCTGTGAAGAGCTGCTGAGTTTTATGTTATGTTTGTGAAGAGCTGCTGAGTTCCATGTTACGTCTGTGAAGAGCTGCTGAGTTCCATGTTATGTTTGTGAAGAGCTGCTGAGTTCTGTGTTATGTCTGTGAAGAGCTGCTGAGTTCTGTGTTATGTTTGTGAAGAGCTGCTGAGTTCCGTGTTATGTCTGTGAAGAGCTGCTGAGTTCAATGTTATGTTTGTGAAGAGCTGCTGAGTTCCGTGTTATGTTTGTGAAGAGCTGCTGAGTTCCATGCTATGCTTGTGAAGAGCTGCTGAGTTCTGTGTTATGTTTGTGAAGAGCTGCTGAGTTCCGTGTTATGTCTGTGAAGAGCTGCTGAGTTTAATGTTATGTCTGTGAAGAGCTGCTGAGTTCCGTGTTATGTCTGTGAAGGGCTGCTGAATTCCATGTTATATCTGGGAATAGCTGCTAAGTTTAATGTTATGTCTGTGAAGAGCTATTGAGTTCCATGTTATATATGTGAAGAGCTGCTGAGTTACGTGTTATGTCTGTGAAGGGCTGCTGAGTTCAATGTTATATCTGTGAAGAGCTGCTGAGTTCAATGTTATATCTGTGAAGAGCTGCTGAGTTTCATGTTATGTTTGTGAAGAGCTGCTGAGTTCTGTGTTATGTCTGTGAAGAGCTGCTGAGTTCTGTGTTATGTTTGTGAAGAGCTGCTGAGTTCAATGTTATGTTTGTGAAGAGCTGCTGAGTCCGTGTTATGTCTGTGAAGAGCTGCTGAGTTCCATGCTATGCTTGTGAAGAGCTGCTGAGTTCTGTGTTATGTTTGTGAAGAGCTGCTGAGTTCTGTGTTATGTTTGTGAAGAGCTGCTGAGTTCCGTGTTATGTCTCTGAAGAGCTGCTGAGTTTAATGTTATATCTGTGAAGAGCTGCTGAGTTCCGTGTTATGTTTGTGAAGAGCTGCTGAGTTCTGTGTTGTCTGTGAAGGGCTGCTGAGTTCCATGTTATGTTTGTGAAGAGCTGTTGAGTTCAATGTTATATCTGTGAAGAGCTGGCGAGTTCAATGTTATGTCGGCGAGGAGCTGCCGAGTTCAATGTTATGTCTATGAAGAGCTGCTGAGTTCAATGTTATATCTGTGAAGAGCTGCTGAGTTCAGTGTTATGTTTGTGAAGAGCTGTTGAGTTCCATGCTATGTCTATGAAGAACTGCTGAGTTCCGTGTTATGTCTGTGAAGAGCTGCTGAGTTCCGTGTTATCTTTGTGAAGAGCTGCTGAGTTCCGTGTTACGTCTGTGAAGAGCTGCTGAGTTCCGTGTTATGTCTGTGAAGAGCTGCTGAGTTCAGTGTAATATCTGGAACTGTGAAGAGCTGTTGCGTTTAATGTTATGTTTGTGAAGAGCTGTTGAGTTCAATGTTATATCTGTGAAGAGCTGCTGAGTTCCATGTTATGTTTGTGAAGAGCTGCTGAGTTCCATGTTACGTCTGTGAAGAGCTGCTGAGTTCCATATTATGTTTGTGAAGAGCTGCTGAGTTCTGTGTTATGTCTGTGAAGAGCTGCTGAGTTCTGTGTTATGTCTGTGAAGAGCTGCTGAGTTCCGTGTTATGTCTGTGAAGAGCTGCTGAGTTCCGTGTTATGTTTGTGAAGAGCTGCTGAGTTCCGTGTTATGCTTGTGAAGAGCTGCTGAGTTCTGTGTTATGTTTGTGAAGAGCTGCTGAGTTCCGTGTTATGTCTGTGAAGAGCTGCTAAGTTCAATGTTATATCTGTGAAGAGCTGCTGAGTTCCGTGTTATGTCTGTGAAGAGCTGCTAAGTTCAATGTTATATCTGTGAAGAGCTGCTGAGTTCCGTGTTATCTTTGTGAAGTTCCATGTTATGTGGACTGGCCCACCGGGATACCGGGAAATTTCCCGGTGGGCTGTCGGCACCTGGGGCTGGGAAGACATCCCCCGCCCTCGTGCGCTACTTAATAAGACCGGGGGCCAGAATATAACGTCATATTCC